AAAAACCGACTTTACGAACCCACCTGACATAAAGGATGCATTGTTAATGCAGAATCCCTTTGCGTAGTCAAAAAACTTTCATATAGTAAGATTACGTGACCAGCTAACTAAGCATAGGCAAAGGGACTCACGATCCTCAGTGGCCATGGACAAGACGATGAGCAGACTGTTGATCATCTCCTCGAGAAGACGAGGACACTGCGCGATGATGTATTGCTTGTCTGTAGGGAAAGAGGATAACACGAATACCACGATGCTGTGAATGCATGGCATTGACAAAAAAGTGAAAGTCCGATTTTACACACTTGGTGGTTAGTGGAAATGGAAGCGCACCGTCTGTGGTGCAAAATGAATCAATTACTTCTGTTTTTGTTTTTCTTAAGGTTTCACAGCATTTGTTTCCTAATGTAATGGCCAAAATACAAAAACAGGTACTTATGTTTGTGATCGCATGACGTCAGTGAAGCTTCACTCAGATGCCACTTTTGAGGTGGGAGGAGGAAGGGAATGTGGCACCTCTACCTGCTAGAAAGAACGAGCATAGCTTCAGCCGTTCCAAACAAAAAAGACTGAGTCAAAGCTAAAAGATTTGACTGCAGCAAATACACCTCTGGCAAGTTCTCGAAACACCAACCACTAACGCCTCATCAACTAATTCAATCGCGAGTTTTGCATCATAATAAAGAAGCATAATTAATTATTTCAGAATATACAACGAGTAAACATTGCGTAAGTGATGATATGATCATCTTCCAATTCGAAAATTCAAAGTGATCAAGCAAAGTCAAAGCTACCATGGATGATTTCCTCCATTGGTGTTCCGAGCGTACTCCAGACAAAAACAAAAATAATTCACTCCGAAAACCAATTGCATCGTGTAATGGAGCCCATAACGCATCAATGAAGTCAAATTAGAATAATATTAGGCAATATGCTTTTGTTGCTTGATCATTGCTCCACAAAACCGGGTCACCTACGCATCCATCAACCCGTAATGGACACCTTCTCCTAACAAGTGGCATCTCAAATCCAAATAATTACGGTAAACTTGACAGAAACGTTAAGTCACTCAGAAACGCCGGACTTGATTAAGCTTATCACACACCAATAAAGAGAGATTTCGGAGGTAACTCAAGTCGAAGCATGTGCGCGTAAATAAGGGCGCGCGCCTTGATCGCGTAGGGAGCTCCGACAATAGCCCTCTTGAAAATGGTGAACATTGGAATTTGGCTGACCAGCTGAAAGGCAAGATGTAACGTCACTAATAACGAATGAGAGATAGGTCAGATATAATCTTCACAGGCAGCATCATTAAATAGCTTACCGGTGGGAGCTCAACATTGTCACTGGGTCTACAAGCGATGTCCTTGTTAAACTGACTATTGAATTCGTAGGCAGACGAGAGGAGCTTTATTAAACGAGGCACAGCCATGAAGGGATTGTACATGAAACTGCCACAAAACAAACGAACAGTGACTAGAAGAACACGAGTGTTGCTATACTTCATGTAGTTGGACCACCACAGACCCTGAAGGAGTACAATATGAATCTCAAGACTAAGTCGAACTCTCTAATGCAGTACTTTTCTGCAAAAAGATACGACATACCACAACCAAGGGAAGCATGAGCATAAATATCACCGCGTACACACCAACGACTAGCACTGTATTCTCCTTCTTAATCATCCACTTGGGAAGCGCCATTCCAAAATTGATTGCTTTTATTGAACGGCAAAAGAATAGTAAAGAGATGAACCAACATTCAAGCATTGTAAGGCAAAAAGGACGTGACAGTTACCTCCTGGACCATCTGAGTTTCCATACTCTTGCCAGTTTTTGTGCGCGACTTCATCAGTTAACCTATGAACGAACCCAAAGTAGTCCCAATAAAGGAAACTTACGTGATATAGGCCTTATGAATCCTAATAAATTTATGCTCATCACCACCTCTGTCAGGATGGTGAATAAGGGAAAGCTTCTTATAGGCCTTCTTTATTTCTGCCTTCGAGGCATCCTAGTCAAATATTAAACAGTAAAGGAAAAAAGTGAATATCGTACTGGATTGATTGAAAGCTCATAGTAGGGATCAAATGCATTCATCGTAACTTCAATCTTGGATAATCTGAACCCCAATGCAATAAGCATAGCCCAGGCAATAATGATTGTCAATTTTCTGCAGAGAGAATAATTCTCTTTGCTAAACCTTACATCAAGCCTCTTTTCATCCACCTCTTTGTTGGAGATGACCGCAAATTCGCACGTTTAGTCTGACATGGTGAGCATTGACAGCGCCTTTTAATGGCATCAGGAGATTGCTTAACTTCTGATTTCGGCCAAAAGAAATATGTTATTGGTAATAGGATGACAGTAAATACTGCAATGAGAAAGCAATAAAATGTGTCCCCAGTTTCGTCAAAATTGAAACGGTCCCCAGACATTTCACTGCAATTTAGCCTTCAGCGGAGTTAGTTGACCAATGGCCTTTTTATATATCTGCCGCTGAACTTTCGGCAGTAGCATCAACATTTCTTGGAAAATTGCTAAAACATTTTACGTATTGTACTTACAATTCGTACTAGAATTTATCCTGATAAAACATATAACAAAGTATCTTTAATTATTTTATTTGGCTGCAATTTTTGTGGATGCGTTATTAAATTTTCCTTAAAATTACTCCTCAAGTTGAAAATGCGACTTACTATACGAGATTGATGGCCTTGTTTTATTTTTGTTTCTGCAAATTACGTATTTTTTGTCTTACTTTATATGCTTTATTTAAACCTGACAATAGAGTACATCACATCATCAGGATTTGGCCAATCGTTCAAGTGAATAACAGAAGTTATGTTACAGTCAAAACTGCAATGCTTTGTTTTTGCGACCACTTACGTTTGATGGTCGCTTCAAGATACGCCTGGCCTTATATGTGTGAGCTGGCCTTCGGGTCATGCTTAGGTCTAGTCGCTTCGTTCCTTTTGGAATACATATATTCAGCTTTATTTACTGCCTTCCTGCATCCGGTGGGAATTAACGGGGTGTCACACATGTAACGTCCTGAGACTTCCCATAGGGTGGAAGAAGGCAGTAAGTGGGGTTGGATACATGTATTCCGAGGAAAATAGAGCAAATTGTCCTGGGCATGGCCCTAAGGCCAGTCCACAAATACAAGGCCCAGACAAATCCTCAAGTGACCGTCAAACATCAGGTAGTCCCACAAACAAAGCATTGCAATGACAACATCGCCATTATTGGTGTGTAGTTCTGAGTCTTCCCATTAGAGAGAATAAAGTACTTCGTAGAACTAAAGACGTGTATTTAGGAAGAAACTATGAAGATTGGGCTTCGGCTTAGACCGTAGGCAAGTCCACACAGCCAGAAGCTAGATGAATGTCAAAGTAACCCACTTTCAGGCATGTAGTTGCCAAATCAAGGTATCCAATTGAGACTATTGCTTGGCTGGCTGTACATGGATCTGCCTTCCTTTGGCTTCGTTATGTGACGCAAGGGTGTGTAATGCACCGAGAAAAGTAGAGGAAGGGGAGAAGAGGGAGCAGATCCCTGTTTTGGAGGCACGCCAATCTCCTCAGACACTGCGTTTGAGCTCAATATAAAAGCGGCCAACGAAAAGCATAAAATTTGACTATTTTGTATTTCGACAGATATGGGGCAATAGTGCGCATATTTTGCTATCCATACGAACAACCGTCATTTTGGTATTTGCTTTGTTTCTTTCGCGTAAATTGGCCTTCTGATCAAGCCAAAGTCCATTCATTTCCCCTTCTATCTGAATACAAGTATTCGGTCCTAACTATTACCCATCAAGTGGGTACACTACTGGCAGCGGAAAACAAACGGCTTGCGCCATTGTTTCTGCCTTTTTTTACTAAATCTGTGATTTTTATGATTTATGAGGAGCATATACTTCGGCTGGGAGTTGAGAATGATGCTTGCCTTGGGCTCTACCCCACGGCCAAGCTATTAACAACAGAACCGACACTACTGTGTGCTTTGTGGGATAAGTTTGTTTTGGAGTTCGCTTTACGCCATCTACACGTCATTCCCCTCGATACGGCGCTGTCTTTGATTACTTTTCCCCTGCTACACATCTGCTTTTGCTCAACACTCCAACGCCTAATCCTGGGCACAACTGACTGTCAACAGAAGTGTCCGCTTTAATTGCCTTCTCCAAGTCGAACAGCTCCGATGGAAGCTGCTGAGAGGGTGAAGCACCATCCCCATCAATCACAGATGGTGGTGGCTGAACTGTCTGTCTCTTCGGTGTCTTTTTTTTTGTAGTACCAAAACATATCGTGATGACCGGTGCATCAAGGGTAGCGTCAATCAAAAGAAGGAAGCGACTGTGTAATGCCTTGGTTATTTGACTACCTGACCTTCAGGCCAGTCCAAAGCCCAATCTCTCCCCTTTTTTACCAAGATTACAAATAATCAGGTCTGCTTAAAGCCTTTTTCGGCTTTGGGAGAATTTTCAGGCCGCTACAGGTAAGGCGGATCTTCGGCGTAGTCCAAAGTGCTGTCCTCTGGTGCAAGCAAAGTAGCCGCAAAAGTAACCACCACGCACGATAGCAGTAAAGTAAATTAAGTTGCATAAAATTCACATGCTAACTGATGTACTGCTACTACTATTGTCTTGCAGGTTAGGCGGAAATTTAAAATGCAACGCAGTGCTTGCAGAAGGGACCCACTTGACCGCTATGCTTAGTAGACTCCTCATTTTATTTCTTTTTTTCCCCTAAATATATGACTAGGTAAATTATAAAGAAGTCAGGAAAAACTGTTAAGGAGTAAAACGTGTACCCTCAAGGAGCCTATTTCAAGAAAGGCGAATGATAGCGATGCCGATTTTGCAATCCGCTCCACGGCATCGACCCATCAATGCAACCTCAGAAGGGCTCAACTTACACATAGTCAAGCAGCTGTCTTAAAACAGTGTTTCTGTCACGTTTTGTCTAACCCTGGCTACAATTCGTGTCGCTCCTTAGATCTACCCTAAACACCGAATGCGGAAAAGACAAAACAGCTTTGATTTTTGAGGTTAAAGTCGATACCTCTGACAGTGATTCCCGCACCTTTAGTATGTCGTTGTCTTCTCACCACCA